TGTTCTGTTCTATTCTAAAATTTGTGCTTGGGAGGGAAGGCAGTTTTGCCTAATGAGCACACACTTCTGTAATAGATTATGTGTTCATATATTTTCAGATAAATAGATGTATTTTGCATGTAGCTGTCTTGAATAGGTTTCCATGTTTAAAATTCTGGCAGATTGTAATACAAAATATTTTATTATCCGATTTAGAAACCTGGCATCTCACGCCTAAAGCAACTCTGGTGGGTGTGCAATTAAAAATATAGAATGCTAGCTTTTAGTTCAATGTTGCCTTGAGAATGCAAAGACTCAGAACTAAATTAATTTACCCCTAATCCCCCACGAGGTCTTGGACCTCAGATCCTCTGCATGTAGAGACAGTATTTTTCCCATGCGTTGATCAATTCCCGGAGAAGACCTCATTAATTCGGCCTCTAAAATAAATCTGGCTGTTGGATTGGACCGAGATTTTGGAAATCCAACTGCTACGTTTTCCCAGCCAGAACTTCTGAATCAATTTACCTTCTGAATGACAGCATGTTGACAGCTCGATTAGGGGTTGGTGAGACATTATTCGGTGTTTAGAAGCCCACCCGTTCTTAACTCCAGAAATGGAGGGAAGTTGGGGTTAGTTTTATTTCATTGGTTGTTTGGTTTGTAAAAATCGTTTTGCTTTGTTTGTGAAATCAAATGGCATCCAAGCCGCCTTAACAAATGGCTCTCCTGCTACTGCACTGTAATAAAAATAATATTAAAAGACTGTTTGAAAAGGAAATGCCATTGGAATAAAAAGCGAAATGGAGGGACGGGGGGGGGGGGGGAAAGATGCCATTAAAAAAAAAAGAGAGATTAAATAAAAAGAGCAAGACAAACGAAAGGTAAAGGTGTTTAAGAGAACTTGCAAAACCCTTGAAAGGGCGTGTGGGTTTACAGGTATTAAAAACGTCTCCTCTGACTTTTAGTCATTTCAGGGTTTGCTATAGGTTTCCAGACACTGATGACGGTCAAAACTAGAATTCAAAATGTCCAAATCAATGGAACAAATGAGCCCCAGGGTGGATCTGAGAGGAGACGGTAGCCGAATGAGAAAGACAGAAACTCTGTGCATGGCAATAAACGTCTGCAAATCCAGAACTTTCCTCTCGTGGCTAGACAGTACCTGGCAGAGCACGAGCATCTATAGCACCATCTGCAAATTCTCTGAAAAGCCGCTCCTAATCTCCAGCCTTATCTAGGCACGTTCGTCACGCAAAAACCCCTCTTTCGCAGGTCTGGTGTGATGTGGCAACTTCGAAGAATAAAAAATAAGAAGAACCTTTTCCAGAAATAGTAGAGAGGTGTAGAAATGAACTTCAAAATGGTGACATCGTCATTCTTCTTCTTCTTCTTCTTCTTCTTCTTCTTCTTCTTCTTCTTCTTCTTCTTCTTCTTCTTCTTCTTCTTCTTCTTCTTCTTCTTCTTCTTCTTCTTCTTCTTCTTCTTCTCCTTCTCCTTCTCCTTCTCCTTCTCCTTCTCCTTCCTACTTCTCCTACTTCTCCTCCTCTTCTCTTTTCTTCACCTTCTCCTTCTTCTTCTCCTTCTCCTTCTCCTTCCTACTTCTCCTACTTCTCCTCCTCTTCTCTTTTCTTCACCTTCACCTTCGCCTTCTTCTTTCTTCTTCTTCTCCTCCTCCTCCTCCTCCTCCTCCAGCACCTGGCACCTGCTCCAGGAGGGTCCACACAGGCAGAAAAAGTCAAGTTGGTGGCTGCAACTGCATGATTGAAGCTCCATCTCTTTTTTTACCCATCTCACTAGGGGTAAGAAGAGAGGTGTAGCCAGCAACTGAGGAGTCAATATTTTCTGCGGATCCAGAAAATATTTAATTTTTCCAGCTGTATTGAGTCAACACGTCAAGATGATAGCCACCCTGTGTGACCAAAAGGCTTTTCCTTTTTAATATGCGTTATGATACACGCAAAAAGGCGCTTCAAAGAAGGAGAGCTACATATAAGATGTTTACATCTCATAAAAAAAAAACTCCAAAATTTCCATCTCCAGAGCAATAGAGGACATCCAGCAAATCTTGGCCGTTCTTGCAGAGAAAGCTAAGCAGCTACGGACCTGCCTTTGTTTGGATAAGAGACTACCCAGAAAAACCTATGTATTTGTATCCATATAATTCCTAGAAGTGTAGCTTGGTTTCAAAAGAGACTCTTCACAACAGTGTTTTTCAAACTTTAAGAAGGCTGGACTTCATCTCCCACAATCCACCAGTCCATGCATGGTGGCTGGAGAATTTTGGGAGTTGAAGTCCACCCATCTTAAAAGTTGCTGAGGTTGAGAAACACGGCTTCCAACCTAAAATCTGATTCGGAAAGCAAAGATTTTTTGTGTTTTTTTGGTTCTGTCTACTCTGTTACTAGAAGATGCATGCAGCAAAATTGTAAAGGCCAAGGAATCTTAGAACATAGAATAACAATACAGTTGGAAGGGACCTTGGAGGTCTTCTAGTCCAACCCCCTGCCTGAGCAGGAGACCCTATACCATTTCAGATAAATGATTGTCCAATCTCTTTTTGAAAGCCTGCGGTGATGGAGCACCCACAACTTCTGAAAGCAAGTTGTTCCATTAGTGGATTCCTCTTACCATTAGGAAATTTCTTCTAAGTTCTAGGTTGCTTCTCTCCATGGTTAGTTTCCATCCATTGTTCCTCATCTTGCCTTTTGGTGCTTTTGAAAACAGTTTGATCCCCTCGTCTTTGTAGGAGCACCTCAAATATTGGAACACGGCTGTCATGTCACCCCCCCACTAGTCCTTTTCATTAGACTAGACCAGGGATCTGCAACCTTGACAACTTTAAGACTGGTGGACTTCATCTTCCAGAATTCCTCAGCCAGCTATGCTGAAGTCCACCAGTCTTAAAGTTGTCAAGGTTGCAGACCCCTGGACGAGACATATCCAATTCCTGTAACTGTTCTTCATATGTTTTAGCCTCCAGCCTCCTAATCCTTTTGGTTGATCTTCTCTTCGTTTCTCCTTTTTAAGTGATAATGATGATAAAGTTGGAAGGGACCTTGGAGGTCATCTAGTCCAACCCCCTGCTCAGGCAGGAAACCCTATACCATTTCGGACAAATAGCTGTCCAGTTTCTTCTTAAAAACTTCCAGTGTTGGAGCATTCACCGCTTCTGGAGGCAGGTTGTTCCACTGATTAATTGTTCTCACTGTCAGGAAGTTTCTCCTTAGTTCCAGGTTGCTTCTCTCCTTGATTAGTTTCCATCCGTTGCTTCTTGTCCTGCCTTCAGGCGCTTTGGAGAAGAGCTTGACTCCCTCTTCTTTGGGGCAGCCCCTGAGATACTGGAACGCTGCTATCCTGTCCCCCCTCGCGCTTCTCTTCGTTAAACTAGACATACCCAATTCCAGCAACTGTTCCTTGTATGTTTTAGCCTCCAATCCCCTAATCATCTTTGTTGCTCTTCTCTGCACTCTTTCTAAAGTCTCAACATCTTTTTTACATCGTGGTGACCAAAACTGGTTGCCGTATTCCAAGTGTGGCCTTACCAAGGCCTTGTAAAGTGGTATTAACACTTCACGTGATCTTGATTCTATCCCTCTGTTAATGCAGCCTAGCACTGTGTTGGCCTTTTTGGCAGCTGCAGCACACGGCTGGCTCATATTTAGGTGATTGTCTACTAGGACTCCGAGGTCCCTCTCACAGTTACTATTATTGACCAAGGTGTAGTGTTTCTCAAACTTGGCGACTTTAAAATGCGTGGACGACAACTCCCAGAATTTCCCAGCCAGCCAGCGCATTCCCCTTGTTGGCTGGGGAATTCTGGGAGTTGAAGTCCACACATCTGAAAGTCGACCAATTTGAGAAACACTGGTGTAGATTAAGATGATTATACTGGCAGATTAGGAATGTTATACTAAGCCGTGATGCTAATGTAGTTATACTAAGAATATTACTCCGTAATACTAATGGAGTCCACGTTCCCATGATCAGAATTTGGACGCTTGGCAACTGATTCATATTTATGACGGTAGTAGCATCCCGGGGGTCACGTGGTTCCCTTTTGCGCCCTTCCGACAAGCAAAGTCAATGGGGAAGCCAGATTCAATTAACTAACTGAACTATTGTAGTGATTCTCTTAACAACTGTGGCAAAAGAAGGTCGTAAAATGGGGCAAAACTCCTTTAGTAACTGTCTCGCTTAGCAACAGAAAATTTTGACTTAATTGTGAAATTGTGAATGCTCCAACACTGGAAGTTTTTAAGAAGAGAGTGGACAACCATTTGGCTGAAATGGTATAGGGTCTCCTCCCTGAGCAGGGGGTTGGACTAGATAACCTCCAAGGTCCCTTCCAACTCTGTTATTCTGTTCTGTTCTATTCTAATTCTAATTCTAATAATTCTAATTATTCCATTTCCAATTTTATTCCATTCCATTCCATTTTAGGACCAGAATTTCTGTCGCTAAGCAAGGTGGTTATTAAGTGACTGATTTTAAAATTCTTTTTATTCTATTTTCTATTCTATTCTATTTTCTATTCTGTTCTGTTCTTTCCTATTCCTATTCCTAATCCTATTCCTATTCCTATATTCCTTCATTCTATTCTATTCTATTCTATTCTATTCTATTCTATTCTATTCTATTCTATTCTGTTTTGTATTCTATTTTCTATTCTATTCTATTTTCTATTCTATTTTCTATTCTATTCTATTCTATTCTATTCTATTCTATTCTGTTTTGTATTCTATTTTCTATTCTATTCTATTTTCTATTCTATTTTCTATTCTATTCTATTCTATTCTATTCTATTCTATTTTCTATTCTATTCTATTCTATTCTATTCTATTCTATTCTATTCTATTCTATTCTTGTGGTCGTAAGTCAAGGCCTGCCTATATCCCTGTCACAGCGTTTTTGAGCCTCAGGCTGCCACCCAAAACAGTTAAAATAAAAACTATAAAATTGAACAATAAAATGAAGTAATCCTCTGCCCTGTTTCCTCCTTGTAGACGGAAAATCTCATCATGTCCTTCAACTACAGTGAAGAGATCATGGACTACTACTACAATGACAGTTATTCCTACGACTGTTGCCTAGCCCAGCCGTGCGATCTGAACCCCTACCAGAACTTTTCCATGCAGTTTCTGCCTCCCTTCTACACCCTAATTTTCCTGCTGGGTCTCGGAGGCAACATGATGGTCATCGCTGTCTTGCTACTGGACAGAGTCTCCTTACTCGGGACCGACATTTTCATCTTCAACCTGGCCATCGCGGATATTCTTCTGGTGTTCACGCTTCCTTTCTGGGCTGCCCAGGCCGTGCTGGGCTGGATCTTCAAGGACTTCCTCTGCAAGGTCATCGGCAGCATCCTGAAGATCAACTTCTACGCCAGCATCCTCTTCCTCATCTGCATCAGCTTTGAGCGGTACCTCTCCATCGTCTACGTCATACGGATGTACAACAGGAACAAGCGCTTCCTGATCGTCTACACCACCTTGCTGGTATGGCTCGTCTGCTTCCTGCTGACGGTGCCCGACTTCATGTACCTGAGGGCCGAGTTTGACAGCCGCCTGAACGTTACTTCCTGCGTCCTCTCCTTCCCACCTCATAGTAGCAAGAGGTGGAGAATCGCCCTGATCGTCATCAACCAACTGGTGGCTTTCTTGCTCCCTCTGATGGCCATGATCTACTGCTACGTCCACATCATCCTCACCCTCCTGCGCTCCAGAGGGTTCCAAAAACACAAGGCCCTCAAGGTTATCTTGGTGGTGGTGGTGGCCTTCTTTCTCTGCTGGTCGCCCTACCATTTGGTGCAGTTCCTCAACACCTTGCTCCAGCTGGACCTCCTGGAGAAGGATTGCCAGAGGGATGAGAGCTTGGACATTGCCGATACCGTCACCACCAGCTTAGGCTTCTTCCACTGTTGCCTCAACCCGCTGCTCTACGCCTTCGTCGGCGTCAAGTTCCGGAACAAACTCCTGACCGTGCTGAGGAGATTCGGCTGCATCAATCAGAACTTCCTGAAGAAGCATTCCAGGTCCTTCAGCCAGCAGAGGGATTCAAGTTGGTCCGAAAGCACAGATTGCTCCTATGCGGCCTTCTAGAAAGATCTGGAGCCGCAAGGACGCCATTGTCCCAAAGGTGCCTTTTTCATGAGGTAACTGGTTTTCCTTTGAAGACCTTTCGCTTCCCATCCCAGAAGCTTCTTCTTCAGCTCTGACTGGACTTTCGTTGTTTTTTCCTTGAAGACGTTTCGCTTCCCATCCCAGAAGCGTCTTCTTCAGCTCTGACTGGATGGTGGGGAATGGACGCCATTGCTATCCCAGAATTCTCCTCTTGCTGCTCTGCAAGCAGAGGAAACATGGCGCTCCGTCGGTACAGCTAGTCCTCGACTTAACAACTCTTCGTTTAGCGACCGTTCGAAGTGGCAACAGCACTGGGAAAAGTGATTTATGACCGGTCCTCACAGTTATGACCATTGTGTCAATGTGATTAAAATTCCTGTCCTGGGGTCATGTGTGATCACCATTTGTGACCTTCTCAGCCGGCTCCTGACATGCAAAGCCAATGGGGGGAGGGGGGGAAGCTGGTTTCGCTTAACGACCGTGTGATCCATTGAACTGCATGATTCGCTTAATAACCATGGCAAAAAAACCTTGGTAAAATCAGGTACGAGTCATTTAACAATCGCTTTGTTTAGCAATGGACGTTCTGTATTCCCAACAGTCAGGTGGTTTTTTAAGAAGACATTGGACAGCCATTTGTCTGAAGTGGCATAGGGTCTCCTGCTTAAGCAGGAGGTTGGACTAGATGACCTCCAAGGTCCCTTCCGGCTCTCTTATTCTGTTATTCGAAGCTGAGGACTGCCTGTGTGTCTAGCATCAAGATCGAGCATCGAAATTCCCCTATGAATCAAGTTTCATTCATGAAAAAATTGTTCTTCGGATAAGGGGGGGTCCCGGCAATCCTGACGGGTTTTGAACATTATCGCTTCCACGTCTGACTCAAGAAACTGGTTGCTCAATATGGTTTTGAGGTTATCTGTTCACGTTTTCAGTTTCTTCCCCCATTCAGAGCAGCGTTCTGAGGTTGAAAATTGGGGTCGAAAACTCCCCCTGCCTGAAACCAAAAGATTTCAAGGCTCGTGTCAAAACCTCCGAGTTGTTTGTTGAAGGCTTCATGGCATCTGCTGTTGCGTTGCATTGACTCGTGTCGCGTCCTTGTTTTCTGATCATAAACTCTTGACTGCCCTTCTGAAATGGATAGCCGAAGATTATGTTGTCCGTCTAAATCTGGTAAAATGAGAAGAGATTTGAGTGAGTCTTTGAACCGAATATATACCAATAAGGACGGACGAGAGAAGAAAGTCATCGCTTCGTTTTTGCTCAATTCTTTTGGATGTCTATTACCGGAGAGAGGATGTCAAAAAAAAAAAAAAAAGGAGCTTAACTCTATATGTATTCAACCTTCTAAAATTAAATAATATAAACGCTGAATGAGATGAGAGTGTTTTTAATGAAATGTTCTGGCTGACTAATTGTGAGTCTTGCGTTTTTGGTGTTTTTCTGTATCTGGGAATCTCTGCATTCTTTATTTTATTGTGTTACTTTTTCGTAGTCTCCTCTTCCTCTCCTCCTCCTCCTCCTCCTCTCCTCCTCCTCCTCCTCCTGTGAATTGAAGCCCACAGGTCAGAAAGGGACTATGAATTCTGTGAGTTGAAGTCCACAGGTTGTAAAGGGGCTATGAATTCTGTGAGTTGAAGGCCACAGGTGGTAAAAGGGCCATAAATTCTGGGAGTTGAAGTCCATAGGTGTTAAAGGGCTATGAATTCTGGGAGTTGAAGTCCATCGGTCATAAAGGCACTATGAATTCCGGGAGTTGAAGTCCATAAGTGGTAACGGGCTATGAATTCTGGGAGTTGAAGTCCACAGGTCATAAAGGGGCTATGAATTCTGGGAATTGAAGTCCACAGGTCATAAAGGGGCTATGAATTCTGGGAGTTGAAGCCCATAGGTGGTAAAGGGCTATGAATTCTGGGAGTTGAAGTCCACAGGTCATCAAGGGGCCATAGTTGCCCACTCCTGACCTTGGGCTATATTGGGAATTTCAGAAACGGGTTTGGGGCCACGGTTCTCCAACTGCTCCTTGGCCAAAGCGGCTGAGAAGAAAAACAAGCAATCAGCCCTCGTTGCAGTTAAACTTCCCCATCGGGAAACCTTTCATAACATGAGGGTTTCCTTTCCCCCACCAGAAGATCTGGTGACTTCCCCACATTACTGAGTCCACCCTGGGGCAACAGCAGCACAGAAGGATAGTCAAGGATAACCTTTGGATGCAAGAATGGAACTAAATCAATCCACCAATTACGAGGATGAGGACTACTATGAGGTAGGTCAGTTCTCTGTCTCTGGCCCAGTGTTTCTTAACCTTGGCTACTTTCAGCTGTGTGGACTTCACCTCCCAGAATTCCCCAGCCAGCCTAGCTGGCTGGGGAATTCTGGGAGGTGAAGTCCACACATCTTGAAGTGGTCCAGGTTGAGGGGAAAAAATGCTAGTCTGTTGAGTAGCCAGCGGATTAGCTGAGCATATCTTTTGAAAAGTAGACTTGCAAGCTCAACCCAACTGGATTGGCCCGATGGACATTTGGTGCTGGGAGGTTTTCCGAGCGTGGAGAGGGTTGCGTGATCCACCATGTCCAGCTTCTCCTGTTGCTTCACAGGCAGGACAGGAGTATCCAGGCCTGCCAGACCAAGCCTGGTGCGTGTACAATGCAGTGAGGGAGTCCGTCTTATCTACTGCTTTGGTCAGCAAAATACCTTGGCCCAATCCTGTTTCTGTGTGCAAGTGACCTCCCTGTTTGATTTGCACACAAAGGCTCCCCCACCTTCTTTTGCTTCCAGCCGATAACAACCAGGACCCAATCCTTAAAGGGAGGGGGGAGCTTTGGATTCTGTGGGGTTTTCACAGTACATGGCTTGAGACTGGGAAGGGAGAGCGCAGAGAAATTGCATTATCAGGAATAGGAGGAGGAGCAGAGGAGGGAAGGAAGGAAGAAGGGAAGGAAGAGAAAAAGAGAGAGAGAAAGAAGAAAAAGGAAAAGAGAAAGAAGAAAGAAAAAGAAAGAAAAAGAAAGGAAGGAAGGAAGGAAGGAAAGTGGGGAAGGGGGAGAGAAAAGGATGGAAAGAATAGAAAATGAATGAAAGAAAAAAAAAAGTCCTGCTCTCAGAGTATCAGCATTGCATTAAATATTATGGGATATTTTCTTTTCCCTCCCTCCCTCCCTTTTTCCTTTCTCCCCTTTCCCCTCCCCTCCCCTTCTCACTTCTCCCCCCTCCCTTCCTCCCTTCCCCATGGGATTGGAGTCCAAAGCTGCAACTGAGCAAGGAAAAACGATCCAGATAATTTCCCATTCCATTCCATCAGCTTCTTCCCTCCTAGTTTACTCCTCCTGTTAGCTTACTAGCAATCCAGCCAGCAGAAAAAGCAGTACTATTGGACAACACCACCAACCGCCCGCGATTCCTAAGGGGGCATGGGTGGGCGCCTGTGTGTAAGGCTGTGTATCTGGGATGTCCTGAGAATTTCTCCCAAACTTTTCTCTTTTTCCCTCCTTCCCAGCTGGGCACGTTGCCCGAGATCAACCCCAACGCCCAGCCGTGCCTTCCCACCGAAGTGAGCGCCTTCGCTCGCTATTTTGTGCCCGCGTTCTTCTCCTTGGTGTTCGTGGTGGGGCTGCTGGGCAACAGCTTGGTGCTGGCTATCTTGGGTCAAAGTCACCGGTCCTGGCGCTTTGCTGACCACTACCTCTTCCAGCTGGCGGTGGCCGATTTCCTTCTGGTCTTAACCCTCCCTTTCCAAGCTGCCTATTTTATCCACGGCTGGACCTTTGGAGAATTCCTTTGCAAGCTGACCGAGGCGCTCTCCACCATGAACGTGGTCACCAACATCCTTCTCCTGACCTACATCAGCATTGAGCGCTACTTCGTGGTGGTCCGGGGGACATCACCACGCTTCTTCTTGAAGCGTTCTCACATCTACCTCACTTCGGCCTCTTTCTGGGGCATGGGCATCGCGTTCGCCATTGTGGATCTCCACTTCCGGACGGTCAGCTACGTCCCGGAAGCCATGACTCTCGTCTGCCAGTTGGGCTTTGAGGTCCAGGATGCCAACTCCTGGAAACTGGGGCTACAAGCGATCTTCTTCCTTCTAGGTTTTTGGTGGCCTGTCCAAGCAATGGTCTACTGCTACAGTCAGATTTTCACCAAGCTGCACCAGGCTGGACTTCTGAGCAAGCATTTGCCTCTCCGTCTCCTGCTGGTCATCTGGATCACCTTCATCGCCTGTTGGTGCCCTTTTCATTGCTTGATCCTGGTGGACATCTTTCAACGTCTGGGCCATTTGAAGCGGCACTGTGAGTGGGAGAAGGTGTTGGATTCCGGACTCCTGATCACCAGGAGTTTAGCCCTCACCCACTGCTGCCTCAATCCCTTGGTCTACGCTTTTGGAGGGGTGAAGTTCCAGAGGGAATTTTCCAGAATCTTCTGTAGGAGAAGCAGAGCCAGGCGCCATTCGGACAGTGAGGACATTAGCCAAATTACTGACTGCAGCACCGATCATGGCCTGGATTATTCGATCATGATGTGAGCTGCGCGTGGTCCACCCCACGTGCCGGGAACCCTTCACGAAGTCTTCTCCACACCATTGCCCACCAGATACAGGTGGTCCCCGACTTACGACAGCTCATTTAGTGACTGTTCAAAGTTACAACGGTGCTGAAAAAAGTAACTTACGACTGTTTTTCACACGGCCGTTGCAGCATCCCCGTGGTCACGCGATCCAAATTGAGAGACTTGGCAACTGATTTGTATTTACGACGGTTGCAGTGTGCCGGGGTCACGTGATCCCCTTTTTGTGACCTCCTGACAAGCAAAATCAACGGGGAATCCAGATTCGCTCTTACTCACTTAACAACTGCAGTGATTCACTTAACAAACGTGGCGAGAAAGGTCGTAAAATGGGGTGAAATTCACTTAACAGCCATCTCACTTAGCGACAGTGGGCTCAATGGTGGCCGTACGTTGAAGACTACCTGTATTGTAGCAATTGTTGAGTTGAAAGAAGGTTCTTCTTACCCCAGAGCGGAAGGGTTTTAGATATGCAACAGCTTTGAAAATAATAATTACAAAATCCCAAACTTCGTTGCTTCAGATTTACAAGAATTACGTCTTGGAGTTGTTGTTGTTTTGCCAGGACCAGCCTTCAAAGGGGAATTTTACATGTTGGTTTCCCCTTTATCTCGCAACTGTCAGAAATGTATACAATTAGCTAATTTGGCTTAGTGGTTTAAGGCATCAGGCTGGAAAGCGGAAGATTATGAGTTCGAGTCCTGCCTTAGCGATGAAATCCAGCTCAGTGGCTTTGGGCCAATCACCAGGAGACAATGAGTTCTAGTCCCGCCTTAGGTAGGAAAGCCGGCTGTCTGAATTTGGGCCAATCACCACGAGTTGGTGAGTTCTAGTCCCGCCTTAGGCATGAAAGCCGGCTGTCTGACTTTGAGTCAATCACTCTCTCTCAGTTCAACCCACCTCATAGGGTCGTTGTTGTGAGGAAAAGAGGAAGCGGAAAGTGTGTTGGAGGTGTTTGCTGCCTTGAGTGATTTGTAAAAATAATAAAGACAGGAGATAAACGAAGGAATGAATAAATTACATTCTGAAGTGAAATCTTGCCCGCCATTTTATTGACAGTTAGCTGCGAGTAACAGCAGAGCTTACTATCCCTAGTCAATGAATTAAGTAGCTGGAGATTTGCTTGAGGAAAAACAATAAAGGTTTATTCAAACCGAATTCTTTACAGATCTGGAAAAAGATAACGGTTGACATTCGAATATGGAAGAATGTCAGTCTTCTTTGGCTAGGAAGAATATCGACCGTAAAAATGAATATCATCTGAAGGATTAATTTATTCTAACAGAGGCTAGTAAGGCTGGAAGGAAAGGTGTTGAGTGAATAGCAAATGTGAACCTACAACTTCATTTGATCAAATAAAAGAGAGCTTGCCCAACCTCAGCAGCTTAAAGAGGAGTGGACTTCAATTCCCAGAATTCCCCAGCCAGCCAAGCTGGCTGGGGAATTCTGGGAGTTGAAGTCCACCCAACTTAAAGTTGCCGAGGTTGAGAAACACACTTTCTAACCTCTTTCGTTTGCCTTCCTTCCACATCCTACCGAGAAGTGATGAAGGGGAACACAGAAGTATTAGGGGAAGAAAAAAAATATCAAAATAAAACCCTTACGCTCTTTCCCCAGAATGGGAAGGATCTGCCACAGAAGGTGGTTTCAAAACATCACCCTTCGCCCCTTGCTTCATGCTGAGGGGAATTACTTCATCTGGCACTTCCACCGTTGCTCAGAAGTATATTTTTTTTCCCTGTGGTTCGGTTTTAACCAGAGGGCTTTTAGATGGGGTTTAGATGGCTGTTGAATGCAATCTCCTTTTCTGAGCTTCCAAAATAGGGTACTCGGATCTCACTGAAGAAGCCGAAGCATCTGTCGGTTCATAAAAAGGGTTGCAGGTGGTCAGAATAACAGAGATGGAAGGGACCGTGGAGATCTTCTCAAGCAGGAGACCCTTACAGAATCAGAGAATAACAGAGATGGAAGGGACTGTGGAGATCTTCTCAAGCAGGAGACCCTTACAGAATCAGAGAATAACAGAGATGGAAGGGACCGTGGAGGTCTTCTCAAGCAGGAGACCATTACAGAATCAGAGAATAACAGAGATGGAAGGGACCGCGGAGGTCTTCTAGTCCAACCCCTTGCTCAAGCAGGAGACCCTTACAGAATCAGAGAAGAACAGAGTTGGGAGGGACCTTGGAGGTCTTCTAGTCCAGCCCCCTGCTCAAGCAGGAAACCCCATACCATTTCAGTCCCATCTCTTCTTTTTGTTTTATTTTTGTTGTCGTTGTCATTGTCGTTTTCTTGCATTTCCACAAAGAAATCCATCCCCAAGAAGGAATCAGAGAATTGTGCGGCGGCCTTACTAGGAAAGGAACTTTATTCACAGGCTAAACAGAAGGACATCGCTTGTACCCCTCAAAAAATATGGAGAGCCGGACCGGGACTTGCTGGGGAAACTGAGGCACAAAGATTTTGGGACACGGTGCAGGGAGGGCTACAGGGCAGGGCTCCTTAGTCCTGCCACCAATGTCCAACTTGATCAGTGAGGACACTTTGATAGGTGTTCACAGTTTCGATGAGGTTTTTATAGTTGTTCCTGGAAATAAAGGGAAGAGGACACCTTTCAGATCATCAGCCCCTTCACAAGGACAAAGATTTCTCCTCACGACAGCTGATCCTCGACTTAAAACCAAAATGCAGCCCAAAATTTCTGTGGCTAGAGCAAGGCAGCAGTTAAGCGAGTTGCGCCCCATTTTATGACCATTTTGGCCACGGTTGTTAAGCGAATCACTGCAGTTGTTAAGAGAATCGTGTAGGTCAGGGGTAGGCAACCTTGGCTCTTTTATGACTGGTGGACTTCAACTCCCAGAATTCCTGAGCCAGCATGGCTCAGCATGGAAACCTCCCCCTTTCCCCTCAACATGGCTGGCTCAGGAATTCTGGGAGTTGAAGTCCACGAGTCCTAAAAGAGCCAAGGTTGCCTATCCCTGGTGTAGGTCATTAAGTAAACGGTTTCCCCCCCCCCCATTGACTTTGCTTGTCGGAAGCTGGCGGGGAAGGTCACAAAAGGGGATCACGTGACCCCAGGACACCACAACTGCCATAAGTACATGCCAGTTGCCAAGTGCCTGAATTTTGATCACATGACCCTGGGAATGCAACAGTCATAGGTGTCAAAAATGGTCATAAGTCACTTTTTTTTTTAGCACTGTTATAACTTCGAACAGTTACTAAAGGAATGGAAGCAAGCAGGTTGCAACCCCTTGAAATCTTTGGATCATAATTTTAATTTTACCCCCCCCCCAAAGGTAATTATTGAATACAGAAGATAAAATGGGCCTTGAATCAGTCTTGGGGATTTAATACATATATTTTCAAGGAACAAGGCCAAAATGTGTTATGTTTCCATCTTCCAGAATGCTATTAGGTCTGTTTGCTACTTTGAGTGATTTATAAAAATAATAAAAGTACGATTAAAAAAAAATCTAAAACAGAAATTCCAGCCAGATTGATGGTAGTCTATCACTGATGATTTTTTGCACTCATTCACTTTCCAAGCAAAATTGTGGAATTTTATTATTTAGAAAGGAAGGTATATTAAGAGCCCGTTTGGTCTAGTGCAGGGGTAGGCAACCTTGGCTCTTTTATGACTCGTGGACTTCAACTCCCAGAATTCTTGAGCCAGCCATGCTGAGGGGAAAGGGAGAGGTTTCCAAGCTGAGCCATGCTGGCTCAGGAATTCTGGGAGTTGAAGTCCATGAGTCATAAAAGAGCAAAGGTTGCCTATCCCTGGTCTAGTGTTTAAGGTACCAGACTAGAAACCAGGAGACGGTGAGTTCTAGTCCCACCTTTGGCACAAAAGCCAGGGGGCTAAGTGATTTTGAGCCAATCACCAGGAGACTGTAAGTTCTAGTTCTGCCTTAGCCATGAAAGCCAGTTGGATGACTTTGGACCAATCATCAAGAGACTATGACTTCTAGTCCCACCTTAGGCAGGAAAGCCAGCTGGGAGACTTTGGGCAGTTACTCCCTCTCCGCCCAGCCCATCCTCACAGGGTTGTTGAGAGGAAAATAGGAGGATAGAGTATTAGGAATGCTCGCCACCTCAAGCTAGTTATAACATAATAAGGGCAGGATAAAAATCAAATAAAATCAATAAACATGACGTATCATTGATCAGAAAATTATATTAGGCCCTTGGGGGGGGAAACCCATCACCCATCATCCCCTGTCATTTCTTTACCAAATTCGCTGGCTGATGTCAAAGGATTTGACTTTTTCTACCCAGGAACTAGTCACATCGGAGACATAATTGTAGTACCCCCGTGCGGCATCCTCAATTTGGGTGAGCACGGTCTCATCCTCGGCACTCCTCTTCTGCACACTGTGGCTGAGAACCTCTGCAAAAAAAAGAGTACTGAATGTGGGCGAGGATTGGATTGCTTCGGGTTTGGCTGACAAGAAATTGGCTTGGGTTTTTTCTGCACAGCCCTTAGTTGCAATTCCCACTTTTGAGAGGAAAATAAATTTTTTAAAAAAAATTAAAATAAAGAAAAACAAAATCCAATCAAATCATAAAATAAGTAGGAGCAGGGGCCCTGCAATCCCAAAACAGCCGGAGCACCACTTGAACCCCCATCGGCATTGACAGACTCCCCTTCAGTCAATTGCAAAAGGCAGCTTGACTTGCAACAGCTTCCATCCTGCGACGATATTTGTAACGCCATCCGACGACAACATCTGCCTATCGCAGGTCTTTGGGAAGGACTCGCTCGGCAGGCAAAAGTGCCAAATCCGGTCCGAACATCTGGCTAACTGTTGTGCAACAAACAAAAATAAAATAAAAATATTCTAAGACAACAGAAGTTGGATTAAAAACTAACCTGAGCAGAGAAGTAGCAGCAGGATGGAAGCAACCGTCAATTTCAGATTCATTTTTGCAAGAGCTATGCCTAAGATTTGGGCGAGAAAA